AGTACTATTTTTGTTAACAAATTATTATTATTTATTATCTTCCCCTCACCCAAAAAAAAAAAAAAAAAAAAACACCAAAAGGATAAGATGGATAAACTGTATACTGCGATGTATACCATGTAAAGTACACACTATAAATTTATTTTCACAACCAAAACCAAAAGCACCAAAACAAAAAGAAGAATTGTGAAGCGCTCTCTCTCTATATATATTGGCAATCGCTATCTTAGAATTATATATCCCTAAAGTAAAATTTTTATTGGCGATTAAACTATTAAAATTGTGTACTTTTTAAATACTCAACTGTTTTTTTTCTTTAATTTCAAATCGTCCAATAAAACATATGGATGCCCCACTCGCTATGTTACATGCTTTTGTCCTTAAATTTGCACTTTTTCTATCAATTTCATAGCCGCGTATGTCAGTTCAATAGAAAACATTAGATTATTTATGACAAATTAGGAGAATGTTTGAATATATATATATATATATATCTATATCTATATAAATTTGAAAAAGAATTTTTAGCAACAAGCCTCCATGCATCTTCCCACTACCAATTATGTTTTTCTAGCATTTCACATTTAATTTAATTTATAAAATATATTTCTCTTAACTTTCACATCTACTATTTACATTTGAAATTGTTAGTTGCTTTTTTAAATCATTTCATTTCAAATTGTTGGTTAATGTGCATGTTATCCTATTTGAACTTCGACCTATCATGTTTCCGATTGCCTTATATTATTTATGATTCTACTTCAATTAAAACTTTTATAAGACCATAACAATAGATAACAAATTAACATCCTTTCATGCTTTCTTATTAATTTAAATAAGTAAGATTATTTACACTCCATTTTTGTTATTCACACTTCAATAATCATTTTGATCATATAATTTTCATTAATTAGATTATATGATAAAACAAATGGTGGAATTGCAAATAATAAAAAATAGAGTGCAAATAATAGTTTCCTAAGTAAAAAGTGGCTTCCATGACTTTCTAATTTAAATAAGTAAAAAGTGACTCCACTTATATAGGAATTTGGTTTGAAGTTTATTAGTGGGCAAGTAAATAAAGAAAAAACATTCCCAAACTTAGTAAAAGTAAAAAAGTAAATGATAATATTTTATCTTTTAACTTAGTAATCCTAAGTAAAAGAGCAAAATTAAATAGAAAACAACAAGGAAATAGTGTCGTGAATTTAAAAATCAAGAATAGTACCAGTCGTGAAATTTAAAATATGAAACCACTAAATAAAAAACAAAGTAGTACTAGCCTTTTAACATGGACATTTTTTTTTGAAATATTTATTTTGATAAAAATAATTATAATAACAACACCAATTCTACCAAAAATTAAAAAAAAAAAGTAACATTATAGTTTAAGGAAAAAATATAGAACATTCAACCCTAATTTGTATATATCTGACCCAAATTTGACCCTGGTTAGATTTGAATAAGAGTGCAAAACCCAAACACTAAGGATAACTTTTGGTATTGAAGAAGCTCGGAAGCTTCCCCCGTGGAGGTCAATTGTGTATTTGTCCGCCCAGCATCAGGTGCGTGGAGGATATAATTCGGCAGGCGAAGGAAGGAGGGGGGGCTGGGGGTGCACAGACCTCCAAGGCCAAGGGGAAGGAGAAGGAGTTACCCCCTGATCCTTCGGAGGATGAGTCGCGGGACCAACCCCCTAGGAGGAAGCGACCCCGGACTCCTCCCCGCCCCCGAGCCTCGGTGGTCGGGGACAGCGAGAGGTATTCCCGCGACAGGTCCGCGAGGAGTCACCCCAGAGACCCCTCTCCGAGGAAACCCGCGCGGAATGGGTTCGAGCGTTCCCCTGCTCGGTCTGTCAAGAGCCGGCCCGCGACCCCCTTTATCTGGACCCTGCTCGGGATGAGCTCGAGCAGATCTTGAGGCCCCGGCCGTACGAAGACAACTATGCAACCTCGCCCTTTACCCGGGAGATAGAGGATTACCCCCTACCCCGGAGGTTCAAGATTCCGAGCATCGAGATGTACGATGCCTCTACAGACCCGGAAGACCACCTCTCGGTATTCCTGACGCATATGCGCTTGCAAACCGCCGCGGATGAGGTTCGCTGTAAGACCTTCCCTATGTTCCTAAAGGGGAAGGCGCGGCTCTGGTTCCAGGGACTGAAACCGGGATCTATACGGAGCTTTCCCGAGCTAGCCGGCAGTTTGCAGCCCAGTTCGTCTCCTCGAAGGTATACGCAAGGAACGCAACCCACCTGATGTCCATCAGGCAACGGCCCGACGAGTCGCTGAAGAACTTCATGACCCGCTTCAATGCGGAGAGCTTGCAGGTCAGAGACAGGATGAGAAAGTGGTGATGGCTGCCTTCACGAACGGACTCAGGGTAGAAGAGTTTTTCTACGACCTGGCCAAGAAGCCTCCCGCGCACCTGGAAGAGCTCCTTCGCAGGGCGCACGAGGCTGCTAATGCGGAGGAGGCAGGCCGTCTGAAGAAGGAGTCTGATCGGGAGCTTGGGGATCGGAGAGGTCGGACAAACCTCCCCGAGAACAAGGACGCCCCGTCCAAGAAAAACGTCTTCGACCGGCTCTCGAAGGAGAAGGCCCCTGCTCTGCTGCCACCCCCGAGAAGACCTACACCCCTCTAACACGACCCAGAACTCAGATCTTGGCCGTTATGGAGGCGGAAGGACTAGGGGATCGGCCGCCAAAAATGGGGACGCCCCGAAACAAAAGGAACCAGGACAGGTACTGCGCCTTTCACCGCGACGTGGGACACGACACGGAGGGATGCTGGGCCCTGCGTAAGGAGATAGAGGACCTGATCCAGCGAGGCCTTCTAGGGCGGTTCGTGCGCCGACCAGGCCAGGAGCCCGGGCGCAACCACCACGGGACAGGCACGAGGGACGGCGTCGGGACCGCTCAGAGCGGCGGGACGCTCCTCGGGGACACTCTCCCGACCCGAACACCCAGAACCTGGGGTGTGATAAACACCATTGCCGGAGGTCCCACAGGGGGGACAGCCACGCAGCTCGGAAGAACAAGCGACCACCCCCCGAAGGCGACGATTCCTTGAAGCGCTTGCGCATGGACGAGGAGATCACCTTCGGGCCAAGGGATGCGGTCCCCCTAGCTTCTGGGAACCATGAGGCCATCGTGATAGACATTGTCACCAACAACTATCGGGTGAAGAAGGTATACGTCGACCAGGGTAGTGCGGTCGACATCATGTTCTACAGGGTGTTCAAGGAGCTCGGATTAAGGGATGACCAGCTCACCCCGGTCCGGACACCTCTGGTGGGCTTCACCGGACCACCCATCAGCCCGGAAGGGATGATCACCCTGATGGTCACCGTAGGTCAGGCCCCCAAGTGTCGGACCGTTCCCGTTAATTTCGTGGTGGTCAAGCAGTCGTCCCCGTACAATGTGTTCCTGGGGAGACCTGCTTTGAACGCCCTCCGGCTATTCCCTCTACCTTTCACCTCAGCGTCAAGTTCCCCACTCCCGGGGGGATAGCCGAGGTGCACGGCGACCCAGAGGTAGCCAGGGCTTGCTACCTGGCCACTCTCCGGGGGCAGGAGAAGGTGGTCGCCCAGACAACCTGTTTGGAGCCCTACATCCCAGGGGATGAGGCCCAACAGCTGGGCACCCAGGATGAGATCGAGGAGTTCCCCTGAGGAAGGAACGTCCCGACCAGGTCATCCGCATCGGGGCACTGCTGCCAACGATCGAGAAGGAAGGCTTGAAGGCCTTATTGAGGGAGTACTCCCAGGTCTTCGCGTGGACGGTGGATGACATGCCCGGGATCCCTACGGACCTGGCCGTCCATCACCTCGACGTGGACCCTCACTTCAAGCCAGTAAAGCAAAAGAAGAGGAGTTTCGCCCCGAGAGAAATGAGGTGATCAGGCAGGAGGTCGGCAAGTTGTTGGAGTCCAAGATCATCCTGGAGGTCTACTACCCGACCTGGCTGGCCAACCCCGTCCTGGTCAAGAAGGAGGACCTGACCTGGAGGATGTGTGTAGACTTCACAGACCTTAACAAAGCCTGCCCAAAGGACTGCTTTCCCCTACCTCGAATTGACAGGTTAGTAGACTCTACTGTGGGCTTTGACGTTTTATGCTTTCTGGATGCTTTTAAGGGATATCACCAGATAGAGATGGCCGAGGAGGACCGGGACAAGACCTCCTTCATCACCGAGGAGGGAACCTACTGCTACAGGACCATGCCCTTCGGATTGAAGAACGCGGGAGCAACTTACCAGCGCCTGGTGAACAAGTTATTCCAAAACCAGGTCGGCAGGAGCATGGAGGTTTATGTGGACGACATGATCGTCAAGAGTCGAACTGACCAGCGCCTCATACCCGACCTGCGGGAGGTCCTGGACATCCTACTGAAGAGCCGGATGCGCCTAAATCCGAAGAAGTGCACTTTTGGGGTCAGATCGGGAAGGTTTATCGGTTTCCTGGTGTCTCGAGACGGAATCCGGGCCAACCCGGATAAACTCCAGGCCATCATGGACATGGCCCCTCCGAGGAGCGTGAAGGAGGTCCAACGGCTAACAGGAAGGATGGCCGCCCTGAATAGGTTTCTCTCGCGCTCCGCGGTCCGGGGGCTGCCCTTCTTCCGAGTACTGAAAGCGCCGAAGGACTTCCACTGGACTGAGGAGTGCCAGAAGGCCTTCGTCGACCTCAAACCTACTTGGCCGAGCTACCATCTCTGACAGCCCCGGAGCCGGGAGAGACCTTATTCCTATACCTATCCGCCTGCAACGAGGCCGTCAGCGCGGTCCTGGTGCGGGAGGATGAGGGGGCTCAGAGGCCGGTATATTACGTAAGCCGAGCTCTACAGGGGCCAGAGACACGATACTCGCCAGCCGAGAAGTTGGTTCTTGCCTTGGTACATGCGGCACGCAAGCTCCGCCCTTACTTTCAGGCTCACGGCATTGTAGTCTGACTGACCAGCCCCTGCGTCAGATACTCACCAAGCCAGAGGTCTCGGGCAGAATGACCAAATGGGCTGTCGAGCTGGCCGAGCACGACATCGGCTATCAACCCCGCAAAGCCATCAAGGCCCAGGCCTTAGCGGATTTCCTTGCTGAGGGGGCTAGCTTGAGTCTGACCGAGCTAAGCCCCAACACGAGGAGCGGCTGCCGAAGGAGCCCTGGGTGTTGTTCGTGGACGGGGCCTCCAGCAAGGAAGGAAGCGGGGCGGGTCTGCTACTCATTTCACCTACCGGGGAAGAACTGACCTACGCCCTCCGATTGGACTTCCCCGCGTCCAACAACGAGGCCGAGTACGAGGCCCTGCTCACGGGATTGCGGATGGCCCACCAGATGGGAATAACCGCGATCCAGGTCAGGAGCGACTCACAGCTCGTCGTCCTTCAAGTCCTTGGGGAGTACGAAGCCAAGGACGAGGTTATGAAGAAGTACCTGGCCAAAGTACGAGAGGCGGTGGCCTTGTTCGAAACGTTCGAGATCGAGCGGGTGCCAAGGTCCCAGAACAAGCGGGCGACGCCCTTTCAAAGTTGGCATCCTCCTCATTTGCCCACCTGAGCAAGGAGGTATTGGTGGAGGTGCTGAAGCAGAAGAGTATCGATCAGGTCCAGGTCTTGGCTATAGACAGCTCGGCCACCTGGATGACGCCCCTCGTTGACTTCCTCAGCTCGGGTGATCTCCCCGGAAACAAAGCCGAGGCCCGACGCATCCAGCTCCGAGCTGCCAAGTACGCCTACGCCGGGGGAACCCTCTATAGGAGGTCGTACCTGTCTCCCTGGCTAAAGTGCGTCACACCTGAAGAAGGTGATTACGTCCTGCGCGAAGTCCACGAAGGAATATGTGCGGCCCATGTGGGGTCCCGAATGCTGGCTAAGAAGTGCCTCCTTCTGGGCTACTATTGGCCCTCCGTCTTCCAAGACGCAGCGGATCTGGTCCAGAAATGCCGAGCCTGCCAGGTGCACGCTTCGCTGCGCCATCAGCCAGCTCGGGAGATGGTCCCCATCCACAGTCCTTGGCCCTTCGCCCAATGGGGGATAGACCTCCTAGGTCCCTTCCCCCGAGCCCCGGGAAGATATGAGCACCTCGTGGTAGCCATAGACTACTTCACGAAGTGGGTGGAAGCGGAGCCCCTGGTCTCTATCTCGGGGAAGGCGATCCAGAAATTCTTTTGGAAGAACATAGTTTTGCCGGTTTGGGATTCCGCATGTCCTGATATCTGACAACGGCCGCCAGTTTGCCGAGAACCCTTTCCGGAGCTGGTGCACCGAGCTCGGAATCATCCAGCACTTCACGTCGGTTGGTCACCCCCAGGCCAATGGCCAGGTGCGAGAACGCTAACCGAACTGTCCTGCAAGGGTTGAATATTAGACTGGAGTCCGCCCAATCAAGCTGGCTGGATGAGCTCCCCAGTGTCCTCTGGGCTTACCGCACTACGCCCAGGACGGCTACTCACGAGACCCCGTTCTCCCTAACATACGGAGCAGAGGCTGTGGTGCCCGCAGAGGTTGGTCTTCCCTCACCCAGAACGCAGAACTTCGTGGCAACGCCCAACGAGGAAGAGCTTAGGTACAACTTGGACATGCTCGAAGTCAGGCGGAGGAAGCGGCTATCCGAATGGCTAAGTACAAAAGCCAGCTCGCTCGCTATCACAACGCCAAAGTGAAGACTATACAATACCAGCCAGGAGACCTCGTCCTGAGAAGGAACTCGATAAGCCGAGTACACGGCTCCAACAAGCTCGACCCAAAGTGGGAGGGCCCCCTACAAGGTCCTCGAGGCGAGCCAAGCTGGCTATTGCAGCTCGCTAAGATGGATGGATCTGAAGTACCCCGGACATGGCACTTCTCCAATTTGCGGTTGTTTGTGGCGTAGGTTAAACCAGGATGTTCAATGGCCTGTACTCTGGAATCTGAATTTTTGTTTTTCCATTCAAATTACAGCTCGTTTTAATTTTCACTTGTACTTGTTTTCATTTTACAATTTTCAAACCTGCACCTTACACTAGCACATTCAGCATTCCCTCGCTCAACGTCCTAGTGGGGGGCTAGGGGGTGGTGAAGTGTTCGACCCAGGAGGTCGGCACGAACGCGGTTAATGAAGTGTGAAGTGTTCGACCCAAGAGGTCGGCACGAACGCGCTTAATGAAGTGTGAAGTGTTCGACCCAGGAGGTCGGCACGAACGCGCTTAATGAAGTGTGAAGTGTTCGGCCCAGGAGGTCGGCAAGAACGCACTTACTGCTTAAAATATTCTGAAGTGTGAAGTGTTCGACCCAGGAGGTCGGCACGAACACGCTTAATGAAGTGTGAAGTGTTCGACCCAGGAGGCCGGCACGAACGCGCTTAATGAAGTGTGAAGTGTTCGACCCAGAAGGTCGGCACGAACACGCTTAATGAGGAGTGAAGTGTTCGGCCCAGGAGGTCGGCAAGAACGCACTTACTGCTTAAAATATTCTGAAGTGTGAAGTGTTCGACCCAAGAGGTCGGCACGAACACGCTTAATGAAGTGTGAAGTGTTCGGCCCAGGAGGTCGGCAAGAACGCACTTACTACTTAAAATATTCTGAAGTGTGAAGTGTTCGACCCAGGAGGTCGGCACGAACACGCTTAATGATGAAGTGTGAAGTGTTCGACGCAGCAGGAGGCCGGCACGAACGCGCTTAATGAAGTGTGAAGTGTTCGACCCAGGAGGTCGGCACGAACACGCTTAATGAGGAGTGAAGTGTTCGGCCCAGGAGGTCGGCAAGAACGCACTTACTGCTTAAAATATTCTGAAGTGTGAAGTGTTCGACCCAGGAGGTCGGCACGAACACGCTTAATGAAGTGTGAAGTGTTCGACCCAGGAGGCCGGCACGAACGCGCTTAATGAAGTGTGAAGTGTTCGACCCAGGAGGTCGGCACGAACACGCTTAATGAGGAGTGAAGTGTTCGGCCCAGGAGGTCGGCAAGAACGCACTTACTGCTTAAAATATTCTGAAGTGTGAAGTGTTCGACCCAGGAGGTCGGCACGAACACGCTTAATGAAGTGTGAAGTGTTCGACCCAGGAGGTCGGCACGAACGCGTTTAATGGAGTGTGAGGTGTTCGGCCCAGGAGGTCGGCAAGAACGCACTCAATACTTAAAGTACTCGGTCGGAAGTGCGAATTGTTCGACCTAGGAGGTCGGCAAGGACGCGCTTAATATTTAAAGCACTCAGCCCCAAGGGGTGAGGTGTGAGGTGTTCGACCCGGAGGTCGGCTCATAGCATTGCGAGTGGGCAAGGAAAGAAGGAAATAACTCTTCGAAATTTTGTATACATTGCAAACCTATCTATTACAAAGCTTCCGAGCTGCCTATCTATTACAAAGCGCCCTAACCCTCTACCGCAAAGTTTCCGAGCTGGTAATCTCCTTCGATGTCTGTTCTACCTACTGGTGGCCCGACCGGGGTGGAAGTTGAAAGTACACCTTAAGCTTGTTGAGAGGCGTATGGTGAAGGCTATTGAGGAGCCCGGAAGCAGGAAACCCCTTCCGTCCTGGATGGACTTCCAAGAGCATTTTCAACTGGAGCATGGTCACATCCGTACAAGAAGACAGAAAGGGTTTCTGGAGGGGCTACCGCCCTAGGCCACCGGCTCTTTCCCGGCAGCTCTGCCTGGAGACCCGTCCTCCTCCAGGGGAACCTCCTCTAGGTCTGCTCCTACGTCGGTTCGGCGGACCAGGCTCTTCAGGGCATGCCCCTTCCGGTACCCATCAAAGAGCCAGTCCAGCCTATCCTCGGCCGCAGGATCGTAGTCCTTGAAGTCCGCCACGTTGAAGCCGGGTAGGTTGAGGCCCTGCACCTGGGTCAGGGCCCGCGTAGAGCCAACCTGGAGGATGGGCTGGTTGAGGAGGGCGATGTCCATCTCGAACTGATCGGAGGAGATGAACTCCCGAACAGCCTTCTTCCGCTCTCGGCTGATGGTGCCGGAGAGCTCTACGGCATGCTCCTCCTTCAGCCTGGCCACACCAGCCCTCTCCTGGTCGAGCTCCGACCTGGTGGAGGCGAGCTGGACCTGGGCGGCGTCCACCTCCTTCTCGGCCTTGTCTAATTTGGCCTTAAGGGAGCTGGCCTCCTGGAGGGCCTGGGAAAGCTTCCTCTCCGCCTCCAGGTTCTTCTTCCGCAACTTCTCCAGGTCGGGAGACAGCTCGGAGAAGCGGGTAGCCAGGGCGGCACCGGCAGCGTTGGACTGGAAAATAGAGAAAGCAGATCAGCATGCCACGTCACTTAACCCAGACACGGGGGCGAAATTAACCCATGGGCGATACTTACTTGAGCCTGGGCGGTGTAGTACGCGTCCAAGAGCTCGGAGGGCTGGCCAGCTCCATCCACTTCCTGTCCCTAGGAAGGACCGAGCCCACCATCAGCTCGCGAGCCACCTCGGGGAACTGGGCTCGGTCGTTGATGGAGAGTTTCCAGGACGGACAGAAGTGGCGGGGGTCATGCATCGTGGGGGCTTGGTCTGGCTTCAGGGGAGATATGTGGCGGAAGTGCCACAAGCTCGGGGGAGTCGACTCCTGGACCTGCTCCTCGGCAGAGCCCACGCCCAGGTGGACTGGTCCCCCGGAGACCCGCGCAAGAGGAGGTGGCTGGGCGGAGACCAGGGCGAGCCTCTTCTGCCCAGCCTGAGAGGGCTCGTCCCCTCTGCCCCTCTTCTGTCCGGCCGCCTTCTTCTTGCTGGCGGCCTGCTTGGAGGGGGATGGTTGTGATGTCTTCTTCTGGGGGCTGAGCCGCCCCCCGGGGTGGAAGCCCCACCGGAGGCCCCCTGAGCAGCTCCGCTCTGGGGGTCGGGAGTGACCTCCTCGAGGTGTGCGCCCAGCAGCTGGGAGAGCTTCCTCACTGAAATGAACACCAGGTCAGCCGAACGAAAGACAGTAAAAGGCAAAAAAGGGAAAATCTATACGCAAAAAAGGGTTCATAGCGTATAGATTTTCCCTTTTTTGCCTTTTACTGTCTTTCGTTCGGCTGACCTGGTGTTCATTTCAGTGAGGAAGCTCTCCCAACTGCTGGGCGCACCCCTCGAGGAGGTCACTCCCGACCCCAGAGCGGAGCTGCTCAGGGGGCCTCCGGTGGGGCTTCCACCCCGGGGGCGGCTCAGCCCCCCAGAAGGAGACATCACAACCATCCCCTCCAAGCAGGCCGCCAGCAAGAAGAAGGCGGCCGGACAGAAGAGGGGCAGAGGGGACGAGCCCTCTCAGGCTGGGCAGAAGAGGCTCGCCCTGGTCTCCGCCCAGCCTCCTCCTCTTGCGCGGGTCTCCGGGGGACCAGTCCACCTGGGCGTGGGCTCTGCCGAGGAGTAGGTCCAGGAGTCGACTCCCCGAGCTTGTGGCACTTCCGCCACATAGCTCCCCTGAAGCCAGGCCAAGCCCCCACGATGCATGACCCCCGCCACTTCTGTCCGTCCTGGAAACTCTCCATCAACGACCGAACCCAGTTCCCCGAGGTGGCTCGCGAGCTGATGGTGGGCTCGGTCCTTCCTAGGGACAAGAAGTGGATGGAGCTGGCCAGCCCCTCCGAGCTCTTGGACGCGTACTACACCGCCCAGGCTCAAGTAAGTATCGCCCATGGGTTAATTTCGCTCCCGTGTCTGGGTTAAGTGACGTGGCATGCTGATCTGCTTTCTCTATTTTCCAGTCCAACGCTGCCGGTGCCGCCCTGGCTACCCGCTTCTCCGAGCTGTCTCCCGACCTGGAGAAGTTGCGGAAGAAGAACCTGGAGGCGGAGAGGAAGCTTTCCCAGGCCCTCCAGGAGGCCAGCTCCCTTAAGGCCAAATTAGACAAGGCCGAGAAGGAGGTGGACGCCGCCCAGGTCCAGCTCGCCTCCACCAGGTCGGAGCTCGACCAGGAGAGGGCTGGTGTGGCCAGGCTGAAGGAGGAGCATGCCGTAGAGCTCTCCGGCACCATCAGCCGAGAGCGGAAGAAGGCTGTTCGGGAGTTCATCTCCTCCGATCAGTTCGAGATGGACATCGCCCTCCTCAACCAGCCCATCCTCCAGGTTGGCTCTACGCGGGCCCTGACCCAGGTGCAGGGCCTCAACCTACCCGGCTTCAACGTGGCGGACTTCAAGGACTACGATCCTGCGGCCGAGGATAGGCTGGACTGGCTCTTTGATGGGTACCGGAAGGGGCATGCCCTGAAGAGCCTGGTCCGCCGAACCGACGTAGGAGCAGACCTAGAGGAGGTTCCCCTGGAGGAGGACGGGTCTCC